CTCAGTGAAACAAAAAAAGCTACCCAGTGGGATATACCCTCTGGTTATTTAACATAGCCATGGAAAATGACCCATTTATAGATGGTTTACCTATTAAAAATGGCGATTTTCCATGGCTATGTTAAATAACCAGATGGTATAGCTTCATCTTAGGCCGCGTGGTGCATTTGAGGATTTTTTTCAGTGGTGAACATAGCTATGGAAAATCACCATGTTCAGCAGGTAATCATCTGTCAATGGCTTATTTTCCCTGGCTATGTCAAATTACCCAAGGTATCCCAACTATACTTGGGTCACCAGGGCCAAAATCCAGATCTCGGGAAGCGCTTGCTTTTTTCGGTGCATCATCTTTTGCGGTGGATGAGAATCTCTGTATAAATACTTCTGGTGTAAGAAAATCTCAAAGATTTGGAAAATGCCTGGATTCAATACCCTCTGGTAAACTAACACTTTGCTATTGAAAATTGCCATTTATAGTGGATTTACCCATTAAAAATGGTGGATCTTTCCAGTTCGCTACGTTAAATTACCAGAGGGTACTCACTTTGGATCGGCTCCTGGCTGGAATTCATCGAGGTCGATGCCATTTTGGAAAAAACGCCCAAACGTTTCAACTCGTTCAAAGTGCGCCAAAACCGTGGATTGAGTGGTGTGGAATTGGTTGGTTGCTTCCCATTCCCGTCCTAATCAATGGATGACTGATGTATGGTTAATGATGGTTAATAATGGTTAATACATGGTTTATGTATGGTTATTCTATGGTTAATGATGGTTAGTTCATAGGATCCTCCGTCACAAACCACCCAATTGGGGTATCCCGGTTATATCCCCAGTTGTAGCCCTGATGATAGCGACCTAAGGAAACCAGCGACCCGTCGCAACGCCAAGGCGCTTTAAGGAACAAGCGCTGTTGCTCATGTCCTGGTTTGCTGTTCATCCCATCCCCCAAATACCAGATTTTTTTCTCGATACCCCAATGACTGGGCTCGAAAATGCTTGAAATATGAATATGGCTAGTACATGCTAGTACTAGAATACGGATTAATTAATTGGTCAGTATGCAAATATCAAATCAATAAGCATGAGTGTGGTAGGACTTGGATAATTCCAGAATGCATGGGATCCATGATTAGGAAGTGGGTTTGTTATTAACCTCAATCACCATCGTAAAATTGAGTTCGCAGTCCAAACATGTTCATGAAGCAAGACCTCAGATGGTCTCGCACCTACTTCCTGCCAGAAACCAACATCGCAGGTCAGTCAATCATTGCAGCCCCCAAAACCAAGATTATAAGATTTTCACATGGGTGAATTGTCCACGCCCTGACAGGTTCACCTGACAGGTTCACCTGGTTCACCCAGAAAATCCCAGAATGACTTCATTCCTGTGGGTTGTTTTCTTATGGAATTATCACTATGGTAGGTAAAATAAGTGATAATCAACTAATAGTGGATTTTAAACTATACTACATTAATGGATTATACTAATGACATTAAAACTATGGTAAATCACTATTTTTGTGGATTATCAACTAATGTCATTTACTTTCAGCTTCTTTCAGGTTGATCCCCCCCGCCTCGTCCAGCTCGCTGTGGTCGGTCATGTTCCGCTCAGTTTCGAATCTGCCGCGATTTTCAAACACCAACGGAACGGTGGAACGGCGGAACGGAAGGGTTGAATCACTGGATTGGGTTTCACGGGAAAATCTACAGGAAACCATGGTTTTTACCATCAAATATAGGGTTTTCCGGTTAAAATGTTCCCATCATCCAATTCTATGATTGAAAGCCCAAAAACACGCCAGGTACAAATGGTGCTATCCTCCATTCCAAGCCCCTTTTTCAGCACAGAACTCCCCACAGAACTCAGCACCGGGTTGGAGTCATGGGCTGCTTATTCTTTTTCTTGGTCCTAGCTGACTATGACTATAGGCTCAAAACAAAATTCAATTTCCATGATTTGTGTATCCCAGCTCTTTCAGCATCTTAAAACAATATCCAATAGGTTGGTTGCTGATATGATCTCTCTAGCTATCTCTAGCTACAGCCATCGTGGTGCTTAAAAAACACATGCTTTGACCCATGCATGGATAAGTTTAAAGTTCAAAAATCTGATTTCACACCGGAATTTGAGGTTGTTGGAGGGTCGGTTGCTATACATTCTCCAAACATTTCCCTCACTTCCTTGATCCGGTTGCGACCTGACTTTGCCGGACCCATTGTTCGAACGGCATGGACCGCGGCAGGGCCGCGAGGGCTACACTTAGCTGTGGAGTTTGCTGCGAAGATTGGTAGAGATGTAGAGGCACAAAAATTTTGGGTATGGGTAGAAATATCTCTGCATCTCTGAACAAGTACAGAGGTTGGACATTGATGGAAATTGTCTTTTTACAAAACTTGACAATAGAAACCACATCGGTTTGGGTATTGGTCTAAGTAAACCCCTCAACACTGGGGGAAAATCTGGAAAATCTCATGAGGTCCTGGTAGCCTTGGTGAATCTTGAGTCCATGCTGCGATGGCACCAGTAGGGGGGTTTTTTTCACAGTCGGCCACCGGCTTGGGCCGCCAAAGGTCGCCGCAAAACCCACTGGAAACCCAGGGATTTAGTGGCTCTATTCATGGGGCCCACATGGGGCCCTCAGTGATATCTAAGATATCTATAGATATCTAAGATTAGGGGGATGGGATTAATATGGATTGATCATGATTAATCATCAAATTTTGTGGGGCTTGTGGGGTGCCCAAGGGTTCGTTGGATCCATATTTTGTTGGCACCCTGGAGTCCATGGAGCATGCAGTTTCTACTCCATGTCAGTGAATGGGCCAGTCCGAGTGATAGAGAAATACTCAAAATCTTAGGTGTGTAGTATACTTATTATACTTCTATACTTGCAATCGAAATGATCCTCCATGCTTTGCTCCATGTTTTTTGAGGAGTTTTTTCCCAATTTCCGAAACCAGCAACCGTGGTTTTTTCCGTGGTGAATTTTCCACTAGATCACCAAATCTATTCGTCTGATATTCTGTTCCTCGTACCCGGCCTGGTAAACGTAACAACATAGCGAACTGGAAAATCACCATAACTATAGTGGGTAAATCCATGTAAATCCTATAAATCCACTACGACTGGGACATTTTCAATAGCAAACTTTGTTAACGTTTACCAGGCCGGGTAGGTTTGTCAATGGTGATACCTCCTCAAAGGGATTTTGGCAGCGAATTTCTAGCTCCCAAAGCCGTCATCCTCCAGTAAACTAACATCGCTACGATGTGAACTGCCCAGTTAGTTGGATGATAACTACTATAGTAGCTATCAAAAAATGTGATTTTCCGTAGCAAACTGTTACATTAGAGTCATTAGAGGATAAAACGAAATTATATCCCCATCCTATGCTCCTTAATATCCCCCTTCCCGAAAAAAAGGCCATTCCCATCCATTCCCTAGTCGCACTTCAATTCTTTTCCCCAGCTTTGAGAGACCTGGAAGAAGCCAGCAAACAAAGATGGGGATAGCAATCAGCAAAATCCATGGCGGTTGAACCCGGTTGTACCATCAGAAAAACATGATATAGCTATATATTTATTCTATACATGTATACCATTATAAACTATATAATAATATACTATATTACCCAAAAAATGGATAATCATATCTTACCAACATGGAGATTCAAGGAATCTAATTCAACGAAGATGAAGAAATTGACCACCTTCCTGGAGTGGCTCTTTAGGATTCCCCCAAAAAAAACAGCAGAACATGTTCCCAGCAAATTCTCCACTGGTTAATGAGAGAAAACACGACCGCTTCAGCAAAACCAGAAAGATATTCTTGGTTTAAACATATGTTGCCTATGTGTTCATCCCCATGATATCTGTATAACATGGCGAAAAACTTTCAACGGGTAGGAAATTGCCATGGCGATATTTGGGCGGGATTTCTGGTTGTGCCGGTTTTTTCCAGCATTTGGGAGCTGGAACCGGAACCATTTTGCATGAGATTTGCATTTGTTTGCAACGTTTTGGAGCTGGAATCTGCCATTTGGCATGTTATTTGCAAGTAGTTGTTGGTTGTTGGTTGTTGTCTGCTAGTTGCGGGTTCTTATTTGTTTTGATATTTTTGCTGCAGTTGTAGTTGTTGTAGTTGCTGTAGTTTTTGTAGTTGTAGCTACAGTTGTTGTTGCAATAGTTTTTTATTGTTGCTGTTGTTGTTACTGTTGCTGTTGTTGTTACTGTTGCTGTTGCTGTTGCTGTTGTTGGTGGTGGTGGTGGTGTAGCTGGATGAACACACCAACTGACTTGACCATGGCACATGTTGCCGACTCCCAGCGATGTCTCAGGCGCACACCCAACGGGAAAAGAGAAGTGTCAGAAAGATCCACCCTGACCAGGGAAGATGCTGCGCCATGGTGTTTCTGCGAGCGCCGGTTCTATGGTCGTCGCAGGCTATTGTTGGCTCAGCGGTGGTTGAACTGACCCGTTCCCAAAGGTGGAGTGGAATTGATTTCATCTGAAAGCAGGGGATAGAATCGGATAGAATGTCAGGATGCTTCATGACATGATATGGTCTATCATGGTCTAGGAGGATCCTGAGGCAGAACAGCTGCAGGACACGCCAGTGAATGCTATTGAAATCTCCTCATAATTACGCACACCCGCAATTGCGACAACTACACATGCTTCTCAGTTGAAATGATCTTTGTATCCTTTGCCAAGATAGCTCACATCTGGGTTTGTCTGAAATAGGGTATCCGAGAATCCCAATGGTTTATCATAAGATTCTTTAGATTCTTTATCCAAAACAGCCCTTTGGGATACCCCGAAAAATTGGACGCTCACGTCTTGACCTATCTACCATCAGGGCACCTTTTTGCGCCTCTTTGGGCATGGGCACGGGGTGATTTCAGCCACTTTTTTCCCTAAAATGTTGTTGAGTTCCAAAAAACAACTGTTCAACCATTGGATTCTTCAACATTTTCAAGAATCACCTTTAAACAAAT